CGCGATGATCGTTTATCCAACTCCGACGGCTGAGATATGCTAGATCCTTTTGTTGTCATCCACTTCCGGTCCAAAATATGGCGTCGCCAGCGCAAAAAGACCGCTGAGGGAGCTCTGAAAACCTAGCGATCTCTTCCCTACAGTTTGCGACGAGGTTAGATATTTTCCGTTTCCGATTTGACTCTCTCTTAATTAAATGTGTATTAAAAATGATGAAAGCGCGGCCTGAAATGGGGAGTTGAGCAATCTGAAGCTGGCGAGTGAAATTTCGGAAGGTTTAGGTAAGGAGGAGATGAATTTGAGTGCCGATGAGGAATCAGTCCATGAAATTCGTCGTCTCCCGGCGGAAATCGACTGGGAAATGCTAGACAAATCTAGGTTTTTCTTCCTCGGCGCTGGTTTATTCTCCGGCGTATCAGCGGCGCTTTACCCCGTGGTGGTACTGAAGACGCGGCAGCAAGTGGCGGAGTCTCCTCCGCTTTCGTGCATCAAAACGGCGCTCTCTATTGTGAAAAACGACGGCCTTCGCGGGCTATATCGAGGATTCGGGACTTCATTGATGGGCACAATTCCAGCCAGAGCACTATACATGGGTGCTCTGGAGATCACAAAGAGCAGCCTGGGGACTACCACGATCAGGCTAGGGTTTTCGGAGGCGACGGCGGCAGCCATAGCAAATGCCGCCGCCGGTTTGAGTGCTGCGATTGCCGCACAGCTGGTGTGGACCCCAGTCGACGTGGTGAGCCAGCGTCTCATGGTACAGAGCAATGCCTCAAACAACTACCTCAACGGATTCCACACATTCCGAAAGATTCTCAGCACAGATGGAGCGAGAGGGCTGTACAGAGGATTCGGGATTTCGATCCTCACATATGCCCCGTCGAATGCGGTTTGGTGGGCGTCTTACTCTGTTTCCCAGAGGCTAGTGTGGAGTAGCTATGGTCAGAGGGTCGGGGCAGGTATGGATTACCGGAGCCCCGACCCGACGACCGTGATGTTCGTTCAGGGTGTCAGTGCAGCCATTGCCGGTGGGGTATCTGCGCTGATTACAATGCCTCTGGATACGATTAAGACAAGGGTGCAGGTCATGGACGGCGGTGATGGGCGGAAGGGACCCTCGGTTAGGCAAACACTGAGGAATCTGGTTAAGGAAGGTGGGTGGGGAGCTTGTTACAGAGGGTTGGGTCCGAGATGGGCATCCATGTCAATGTCTGCCACCACCATGATCACTACCTATGAGTTCTTGAAGAGGCTCTCCACAAAGGATCAGGAGGGTTGAAATCACATCTCACTAATCTTAATCCATGTTTATCATGTCTAGTTTTTCATGGTTTGAGCGTCGTGCGGATTGTTTGACCACTTGTGGGTAGAGACTGTTCAATTGTACATATTCTGCTTCTTTCTTCTTCTATGAACTTTTTCTGGTAGTATTACAATTTGTGGGATCATCAAGATTCAAGAAGGATAAAATTCTTCTAAAAATCAAGAAGGATAGAATTCTTCTAAATAATCAAGAAAGGTAGAATTATGTCTTTGATATTGGATTATTAAATTACGAATAAGGTAAAATGAATAAAGGAACAATTATATTAGGAAAAATTGACAAGAATAATATCGCCTTTCACTGGTCTTCTCGTTATTATCCCACCTGTACGTAATTCCAGAATAATTCCACATTTACACCTCATTTTGTTTCATTGGATCCTAACTTGTTGATGACCTACTACACCAGGTTTTTTACCATTTCTTTGAAAATATTATATAAATAATTTCACATTTATAAAGATATAATAAAAAGTGAAAGGTGAGATTATTTATATCATTTTCAAAGAAAGGGTAAAAAACTTGGTATAGTAGGTCATCAACGGGTTACGGTTCAATGAAAGAAGATGAGATGCAAAGGTTGGATTATTCTGGAACTATGTAAATGTGGGATTATTATGAGAAGACTAGTGAAAGGTGAGATTATTCTTGTCAATTTTTCCAATATATTAATAAATTTAGTACGAATAAAAGACCAATCATGATAAAAGACTTTTCTCAAAATTTTAGTATGATCCCGGTGTCGCAAGGTCTTCTCGCACTTCAGGTGAGGTAAGGGGGTCGGATGTACACAACCCCATCGATACACTAAAGTACAAAGAAACTGTTTTATGATAAAAGACCAATGAAATGGAATTTTTTTGACAAACATTGCATGACTTCGAAAATACTAATTTTGTCCTTCTAAAAGTGGTAGATGAAAATGTAGTATCGGACTATGGTTATTAAAAAAATTAGAGTTACGTAATTATATGATTCATAATGTATTACTCGGTACATAGTAGTATAGTACTACGTAATAAGGTGCAAGTAGAAAGTACCAAGTAGTACTTCCTACTTGAAGGTGTATTATTATTTATTATGTAGGTGTATTATTATTTATTATGAAGGCCTCCATTTTTTTTATTGAAACACAGAGACTTAGGGGGTGTTTGGAACTGATTCTGCTTCTGCTTCTTTTTTAAAAGTAGAAGCAGAATTAGAATCAGTTTCAGAAGCTGGTACCCCCAGCTTCTAAAAAAACTGATTCTGAGAGTAAATTAGAGCTCCAGAAGTGCTTCTGGAATTTCACTCAAACACTCCAGCTTCTGCTTCTGCTCCCTGAAGGAGCAGAATCAGTTTTGAGAATCAGATCCAAACACCCCTTAATTTTGCATCCCACTTGTTTATTAAAATTTAAGTGGAAACCTCATTATTTCTAGAGAAAACCTCATTAGTTCTAAAAAAAACCTAAATTGAATACATAAACTACAAGAGATAAATAGAATTCTTCTTTTTTGAAGGTTAACATCCAATAATATAAATCTATGTGGCTATCATTTTTCATTTTCCCATTGAGATGGTGTATAATGACATTTACCTTGCTAGTGAATGTTACGGTACTCATAATGTTCATGGTGATGCATTTGATTGGTTGAGATCACTATTTTATTACGGAGTATTTGTTTACATTTGAATTGCTCAATTATATTATGCAAACAAGTCTTCTAATATTTTCAAAGTGAAAATTATACCCTTGTAGACTTGTAGTGAAGCTCAATTTAGTATACATAGTAGTAAAAAATACTCGTACTGATCTCTAGATTTTCGGGAAAATCAATATCACTAAAATGGTCTAAGATTGTTTTAACTTTAGGTGACAACTCCAGTAACTTTCTAAAAAATGGGGTACCGTACCTACCATTCATTTGATTGGACCACATCACTTTATGATTTTTAATTTAGATTTAAATAATTCAATTGCTACATTCTCATTGGTCCATGTGGACAAAGGTATGGTACCTTATGGATACCATAGAATTTACCTTAACTTTAACTGTAATTTGTCTCAGACTAGACCAAACCAGATCAGACTTGGGTAATTATAAAAATACAAAAAAAATCAGACCAGTTCAAACCAAATCAGATCAGACCAGACCAGCAAATTACAGTCCAAATAGAAACATCCTAATTCTTGCACCTCATTATCTTGAATGAGATATAAATGGAAATTATTTACAAGATGTTACAAACGCAAGAGAAGAAAAGGAAAAGATGAAGTTTATGGAATTTTCTGTCCCGCATGACCGCGGCAGTGGGGTTATTTGGAATAGTTGATGCCCTGACTTATCGCTCAAACAAAAGCGAAACATTCTTACCTTCTATTAAAAACATGGTTCATTTGATCCTAAGTAAATTAATGTTATATAATCTGCATTTCAAGGATTAAGGATGTTTTCTTTTGGACTGAAATTTGCTGGTCTGGTCTGTTTAAGTCTGGTTTGGTCTGGTCTGGTCTGGTCTGAATTGATCTGGTCTGGTCTGGTAAACGTCTGGTCTCTGTGTATTTTATAACTACGGAAGTCTGGTCTGGTCTGGTCTTGTCTGTTTAAGTCTGGTCTGGTCTGGGACTGAAAACAGTCCAAAAGAAAACATTAGGTCCTACTTCTAGGGGTGTGTTTATTGTAGTATAGGACTTTTTGTTCAAGGTAAAAATAGTTTTTAATCTTTACTCTAAGATTAACGGAGTACTTTCTCCATAATAAGATCATATTTCTAGGGCTTGTTATCTACTTAATTTATACTCCAAACAATTGAGTTCGTATGTTTTCGCTTGATTCAATTTCAAATTAGATTAGATCAAACTTAATAGCTTTAACCATCTTTAAGTTGGCCTAATAATCAAATTAAACAAACTAGACGAGTAAAATATATCACACTTGATCATATCAAACTTAATTAAGTCAGATCATGTTTAATCAAACTGTACAAAAAAAAAATCCCCTAATTCTAGCAACGAATTTCATTTGATATTGTGCTTTTGTATATATTCATGGTCTCGGACTCTCGGTTCAAAACAGGCTACTTTTAGAACAATTTGCATTTGGTTCAAAATAACTACTCCCATAAATTTAATTCAAAACACTCATTTTGTTCTCGCTATTTTAATAGATGTAATTATTGAAGGGTAATGGCAGTGGGATCATTTTATATAACGTACTGTAGACTGTAGTTACTATACCCATTAAATAAATTTAAATTAAAACAAATATTATTTCAGGATTTGTGAAGTCTAGGGATTTCGGAGAAGAGTGAAGACAATGAACGACTGATATTTGTCTTCAAATTATTATCACATTTGAATAGTTTGAAATAATATAAAGATGTACAATATATAAATAAATGCATCATCTTATAACCATATAATTATTTCTGCTGAAAACGAACATATATAGATATTTTAATAAAATTGAATGCAATCTACCTCTCCTCTTCCCCCAAGCCATATAAGCCCTTAATTTACAAGAATAAATTAAACGCAATAAGGACTTTGTATTTATTGGGGGTAAATCATGGAAAATAATGGAATATGTGATGCTTCATAGGAAAGATTGTCTTATACTTCTAAATAGAACAATTGACTACTTTTGAACAATTGGGGTAAAACATATCAATTTCTGAACAAAAAAGGATTGATACACGTAACTAAATATACACATGGGGGTAAATAGAATTTAACTCAAAAAATTAAATTCTAAAGACAAAAGATGTTCTAGATCAGCAGATTAACTTCTCCCTAAAGTTGATATCCCTATACCAATTAGAAGGGTGTTGTGCATTTTCTAGCATTATGAACAAGGTTAAGAAGGGTGGGGTCTCTTTTTGTTGCTGCAAGATGAACACTTATACAACTTCAATTGCTCAGCTTTAGCCGGGGTTATTTTTACACACCGTCCATGAAACCACCTTTCGCATTTGTCACAACATATCCAGAACTCGTCCAGTCCATCGTATTGGCCGCAAGCACCACACAATGTGTTGTCGTGCTCCTCGTCTTCCTCCTCTCTTTCATTGTTGTGAAGCAGTTTTACGTCCATTGTCCTACCTTCATGCTCTTCAGTTGCTTGCTGTTTTTTCACAAAAATAGTCCAAAGGTAAGATAATAGCATAAGCTCAGGTCAAGTAATCAACTACCTAACCTATACTTGCAAAAGCTCACCCCCATGCAACTAGGATGTTTGTCATTCGCAGGACCAGCCATAGGGCCCCCAAAATTAAGGGGCCTCCAATTTTGAAAATAAGCATATTAATAATATATATTGTATTTAATTTAAATTTTCAATTTGATATCAATTCCCATATCTAAACAATCAGATGAGTATGACAAGTAGCTATAGTGGATAGTCACGAGTAGCCTCTGACAAGCCACGAGTAAGCTTCACCCACATCCCCTTCAACAATCAAACCACAGACACTTCTAACAATTTGATTTAGTTCATTTCATTAGTAGGTCACTTTTGTGCATCGTTTAGCTGTTTAGTTCTTTTTTCAATCGATAGTCAGCTAGGGAATAGGGTCTAAGTATACAAAGTATGCAATTGTATTACAGATTACAGTAAAGTATAATAACTCAATAACTTTTTCCAAAAAATAAAAATAACTCAATAACTATAATACAAGTATAAGTATAATTGGCAATTGTATAAAGTATCAATCCATAAATCTATTGATTTACTTAACAACTCAATTACTCATTCAGGTGTGTAAAATAATAATTTGATCATTATAAGTACTTTATGAATGTATTAAAACAACTGCATCATAAGTATAAAGTGTTGATTTATAAATCTATTGACTTACTCAAAACAACTTAACTACTCATTTATGTGTGCAAAAAGTTTATTCAGATGAATTGTGAAATGTGAGTTTGATTAAAATATTGAATGTTTATAATCTTCATATCTTATTTATGATGAGCGGTATATTTTTATTTATATATGAAGCTTTTACTTATTTATTACTCTCTCAATCCCGCTAAGATGATTTCATCTTTCTTTTTTCAGTCTGCCCTACTAAAATTGTTTCATAACAAATTTGATAAAATTTGTGTGGTTTTAAATCTTTCTTTTTTATTCTTACTTTATTAATTAAATATCAACAACACAAATTTACTTTCTTTGGAACCACACCTTCCTATGTCTCAATGTTAGTAGGATGGAGGTAATATTTTTTCAATGAAATTGTAGTTTTGTCATTTGTGATGGCGGGAAAACGAAAACATGATTCGTGGTTTACAAAGAAAAGAACAAACTAACAAAAGACTTGATTATAAAATCCATTCCCGGCTGTAAAAATCTATTTGTATACAGAAACGAATGTCTATATGACAATCTAGGGCCTCACAATTGCTCTAGACGGCCCTGGTCATTCGGTACAGGTATGTTCAGTTTCTAAAATACTAATTTTTTATTCCATTACGTCGGCATTGTTTGAGCATATTTAGTTTCTTTAATTTACTTTAATTGATTTTAGGGGTCGGTTTTCAAAAAACCTACCTTAAACCACAAACCGGCTTGCCTATGGTTTAGGGCAGTTTGGTTTCAAGTTTTGGTTTGCCGTTTTTTGGGATTAGCGCTGCACACAAGATATAAAAAAGATGTATATACTACAACCAAATTATCAACACAATGCAAAATATTAATGCTTACAGATTTGGAACTTTGCTTTGGCTTGGAGTGAATATGATTTAAGACCGATTTTTTCCCCTTTAGCTGTTTCTTTGACGCAAGAGTCACAATCTCATACACTGTAGGAAGATCGTTTATCATGTTGAAGAGTGTCTTCCTGCACATTAAAATGATTCCAAGATGTTTGAATACTACAACTAAGCTAAAGACAGTAAACCTTAATTAAGTCATTTCCAAAGGGACACAATCATCACTGGATTTTATTGGTTCCATCTTCCTAAATCCATTCTTTGATTAAATCCAAATTCACATTGAAACACTAAATGTACAAATTTCACTAGTTTAGATACTAAGGAAAAAAAAAACCAAGAGATTAAGCGAAAAACAAGAAAAATTCACTGTGGGCGATACACTCACAGAGATTATCATTTATCAGTAATTATTGATCTCAATGTAGGTATGAGGAGCGTTGTATGTGCAGATAATAATATTTTAGAAACTGAGTTTGAAATACACACACCTTTGAGCTTTATCAAATCCGAATCTAGCAGCAAAGTAGAAAGCAACAGAAAACAGCCACGCTTCACTGTGGGCAGCTACTAATGTTATCCAGTCACTTGCCACCATCCCATCTCTTGCAAAGTTGATACCCAGAGTAGGCTCCGGAATCTCTGAAGGTACTTCTTCAAAAGGTAAACTTACCTGCCATTTCCCATCCGGATATCCAATCAAGTAAAAGTTCTCTTTCTCTGTACAAGAAAAGAAATATGTATCATTAAGAGATGCTTTGGGGCTTATTTGGTTCATGGATTTTAGGATGTGAGGAAAGGGATTAAAATTATTTTTATATTTAATTGGCTGTGTAGTTATAAAGTATAAAAAAATACATGATCTAAGTAATCATATATAGTATACAGAAATTCCTGGGTTTAAAAAAAAACTGGGTATTTACTACCTTCAAGGTATCAACAATAACTAGAATGCTTCCGGTCTATAACAAGATAGCAACCACAGATTTGTAATTTGTTAGAATTTTCATAACCAATTACGTAAAAATAGCTTCTTTTGTTGACTGAATACTCCCTTCTCTGTGAGACAGAACGACTAACTCATTAGAGAGGATGCCTGTAACTTAAATGGAACCTACGAGGGCCGTCTAATGAATTTGGAGGCCTCGGTTCCAAATGTTAAATTGAGGCCCCATATTAATATAAAAAGTTAAAAAATAAATCTCAATTCAAATACTTATACTCAAATCAATTGAATACTCATTAAATAATTTAATAATTTTTTTATAACTTACTTAATACTTGATTTAAAGTAACACAATTCATTATTCAAGCAATTTGAGTAAAACAGAACTAAAAGGGCCAAAAAATGATGGATCTATATTTTTCGTCCTTACTAACTGTATCTTACTGATTAGTATTAATATATTAATATATAATATACTATATAATACTAATAAATTCTTAAATATATGGGGCCCCGTAAACCGGGAGGCCCTGTTCTGGATAACCTAATTAACCCCTAAAAAACGGCCCTGGAACCTACGGATTTAAAGTGGATTACAAAATAATAAAAAAACTCCGAATGGATTAAATGATTAATTGACGCATGCACTCGAAATAAAAATAAAAAATCAATTTCTTGCCTGGATTGCACATCCGATAAAAATCTTCATAGTCTGAAACACAAAAACATAAACTACAATCAAAATTGTTACCAAAAAAATAAATAAATAAAATCGAAGGAACTAAAAAGAGGTTTACCAGTTGTAAGAGCGGATATTATGCCACTCCTACGCCCCTTGTAATCATCAAAGACTTCATTCACAGTACAAATATGGTCGTTCTGGCCTTCTCCTCCCTCCATTGAATGTTGCAAAATAGATTAATGAAAATAATTGGAGAAGAATAAGAAGCTAGTTTAAAAGCAACAGAGAGATAGACCGCAGTGATTGGAGGAGGCCAGGAGGGATTACGAGCGATTATAATTTAAGCGCGAGAGGTTTAAGGGTTTGTGTAAGAACAGGACTAAGCAAGTCTAAATTTAATCTTTTCTTTTCCATCATTTAGGAAGTCTGTATGATTTAGGATACATAAAATAAATAAAAATAAGATAATAGTGTAAAGATGTTTTTATTTGGACTGTAATTCGTCTCAGACCAGACTTGGATAGTTATAAAATTACAAAGAAATCAGACCAAACCAAACCAGCAAATTACAATTCAAGTAAAAACATCCTAAATCCACAGAGTAAGTAAAAGCTACGTTTTCTTTTTATTTGTGGAATGAGCTTGGTTTTATTTTTTAGGTTTTAACATCAATATTACTAAAATATATAGTAGGTAAAAAGTGTTTTTTTAATTTCTCAAAAAATGACTGATAAACATTAAATTTATTACATTTAAATCATTCGTATTCTACTATATTACATTAAATGTAGTGACTCGCTGCAATAACCACCCCGACTCGTGAATATGTTATCCTTATAATTGTCCATGAACTTGGAGCTAATAACAAAAAAAAAGAACTAAAAACTATTAAAAGCACCTCCGATGGCGCTTTAAGCTTTTAGATTAAAAGTTTTAAAAATTAAATAGAAGTCAACATTTATAAACACCATTTTTAGCTTTAGAAGTGTTTTTCACTTTTTTCAATTAGAAAGAATAAAAATGGTGACATAGACTTCTGAAACACTTTTATTTCAAACGCGTAAAGCGCCATTGGAGGTACTTTTAATAGCTTTTAGGTTTTTTTCAATCCCAGAGGGTCAAGGGGAGGGGGGCTAGGGAGCCTGGGGTAAATTGGGCTGAAATTCCTTCCGTGGAGTTTCAGACTCGAGATTTCTTTTCGTAAGAGAGTGAGTCGGCGACCAGTTGAGCTATATTTTCTTCTCAAGTTTTTTCGTATTAACTCCAACTTCAAGGATGATTTTAAGGGTGACATATTCACCAAAACTATATGTGATATACAATTGATAACAAAACTATTGCACATATTAATCAACGTATAGAGTATTTATATCGACTTTAATTTGAAGTGCGTGTATTAGGGGTCCATTTGCTAACACTGACATTGATTGCATTGGCTAAATTTGATGAAATTGGTAAAAGTGAGGCTGAAATGGCTAACTTGGTTGAATCAGATAAATTATGAAAAAACATAGATTCAACAAAACAAGACTAGACATCATCATCTGTTTCAGCCAAGTGAAATAGAAGAGTAGCTACCTCTACTATGTACCAAGTACTAACTACTCCAATAATAAACGATAGCGGTGACTGTCCCAATAGGTGCTCGTGCCTCTCTCACGATGAGGGCGCTCCTCCCTCACTGTCGTCCTCCTTACCCCGGCCTAATGTGTGGCCACAAATGGGACAACACATTTAAGTGGGTCATCACTTAAATGTATTGCCTTATTTGTGGCCACACATTAGGCCGGGGGTAAGAATAGGGTACCCCATTTTGGGATACCTTTAGCATTAGTCTAGAAAGAATGTATTATGTTTGGAAAGGAGATAAAGAATGAGTTCATACAATTCTACAAAGCATCTCACTAGTCACCCGGCCAGTCCAGGTTAGGCTTGGACCCGGTTCGGGTCACCCGGCCTAGGAACCGGCCCGGCCCGGTACTGTGCGGGCCCGGCCTGGGAACCGGGTAACAGTCCCGGGTCTAAGCCCGATTTGGGGTGGGAAATCGGGTCGGGTATGGGCTTAGGTAAATGAGAACCGGCCCGGCCGGTTCCGGGCCCGGTTCGGGCCTTTCAATTTTGTTTTTTGTTTTTTGTTGGTTTGGGGCTTTGGGCTGGGTTTAAAATTTAAATGGGCTGGAATGGGTCTTTCAGATGGGTTTGTGGGATGGGGGGTGGGGGTAGGGGATAAAAATAATCAAGAAAAAAAAAGTATAATCGGACCCGGACCGGCACCGGTCTACTTCCGGGCCGGTCCCGGGCCTCACAGAGTCACAGAATCTTTTTTTGGCCCAGCCGGACCTAGGCCCGACCTGGGCCCGGAACCGGTTGAGTCCATCACTAGTCCAGGTGGATACATTACGAGGAATAACTTGAAGCAAACATGGAAAAGTGGTACGCACAATGGGGAATAACTTTAAGCAAACATGGGAAAGTATAGCCGTTGAAAATTTTCCTCAAAAGCATAGATAAGATCCACTATAAGATCGTGAAGTTAGAAGGGGAAAGGCAGGAAAGCACAGAAGAAGAAATTCAGTTAGCATTTAAAGAAAAATAACTCACAAGAATAACACAGTAATTTATAAGAGCTATTATTTTCCAACAAATGAATGAGACTGGTAAAACGTCAAGGTATTTAGAACATCGACAAAAACTGAGTTTTTTACACAACATGTGATGAACAGTGTGAATGAAGTTTTTTCAGTTTTGTTTGGGAACAATGTAGGAATAACCCAAGCAAGCAAGCAAGTGTGATCAATCAATCAATCAGCTAGATCTTATTCTTTTTGCACCACCTCTTCCATCTGATTTCACGGTTGAAGCAGATTCGCCTTCGGAGGAAGCCTCCCTGGATTTGGTCAAAGAATCAGAGAGATCGGCATAGAGATCAACCACCCTTCTAATATTGTTGTTGAGCTCTCTAATAAGACCCACGTTTCGGGTCAAGTTATCCGGGATCTTAGACTCGTGGTTTTGGTTGATCTCATTGATTAAAAGTCTGTTTTGGTCTAGTATGTTTTGAACTTGTAAAAAACTCTTTTGAAATGTCTGCAGAACTTTGCTGTCTATATGGGTTCCATTTGCAATTCCCGAGAATATTTCATCATCCATTTCAATTCCTATTCAATTCAAGCTCACAACCCCTTCCAAATTCTACCACTGCATATATAAATATAATAATTTTTATCAGTTGAAACTCACACAAAGTATTTTCAAGTCATCCATACAAGTCAGATTTAAAACTATAAACTCACATACTGATATAAGCTGAACCTCACATACTATAAGACATTAAGCTTTTAGATTTGAACCTCAAACTTTAATATAAGCTGGTTAAGCTCTATATGCGCCTTTTGACTCTAATACCATATTAAGAGCCCGTTTGGTGAACCTGTTTTTTCACCTTATCAACCAACGTTTTCATCAAACATGTAACTTTTGAATTGTGTAATAATCAAAATAAATAAGGTTTGAGTTGCTTTTCTAGTTGAATTGACAAAAGTTACTCTAGAGGATTTTAGCTATTTTTTCATATAATTTTTTCTCCATTATATTAATAAAATATACTACGTACTTCGTATTTTAAATATAATTTTTTCACAAATAAACAACATTAGACAGTTCAGTCACTTCACCCAGAACTTCATAAATATCTGGCTGAACCAACCATTTCAGTGTTACCAAACGGGCTCTAAGACTCGTGATCTATACTGGATAGTTAGACGGATAGAAAGAGCAGTCCAAGTTGTATTTTGTATTTTTTTTATATTTAGCAGGCGAGTAAGAGTCATACACGGTAAGAAGAAAGGAAGTAACACAAAAACACAACCAATCAGTGGAGGAATTGTTTATAGAAGCAGATATACATTTTACTTGAAAAGTCAACCAAAATTATAAGCTTTGTAATATTAAAACTGCCTCCAATGCTAAAGGGCCACCCTTTTTCTCTTTCTAAGATTTGTTAATCAATTATCCATGGTTAACTGGGAGGAAATCATTCCGAGTTTCCGATCACACTCAAGAAATCATTGTCAAATGATGAGGCAAGCAATCCAGCCACCAAAAACATCATGTATTACAAGGATTGAACAAATTAAATAGAAATTTGGGGGAAAAGTTTAAACAGGATTCAGAACCACAACACACCCGTGAAACGGATTAGAGAATAAGAAAATCTGAAATTGCAATTCCCTTTTGGAATTACCTCGAAGATAGGGAAGAAGAACATTCTTCTCCGAGATAGTGTTGAAGAAATCGTCGTTCCAGTGAGACGATTGAAAAGATGCCCAGAAATCATGAACAGAGAGAGAGGCCGAGAATGTTGTGAAATTTATGAAGACGGTTGAGACAGAGGGATGAGGGTGTGCAGATTTGGGTTGGGGGGTAATAAGCTTCTCTCTCCTGCGCGATTCTTTATTCCTCTGTACCTTTGTATAAATTGCGTTGATTCCAGGGTGAAACATGTAAAAATTGGATTTTCCAAAAAAAAATGGACTTCACGATGTACTTGTATTTATTTTTTAAATCCAAAAAAATGTATTTATTTTTTAAAATAAATTCCAATTTTAATCCTAGAGAGTAATAGAATATCAAATTCTAATTTTAAAATATCCAACTCATGGCTCTCCCTTCTCTCTATAATACTGCTAGTGGTTTACTGGGAAACTATCAGAAGTCTTTAGTAAAAAACTTTCACATGAGTAAATTGTTTACCTACACAGAATTAAACATTCAAAAGAGAATGTACAAAATGAAGAATCAAACATTCCACTTTATAAGGAATAGATCTCAAACACGAGTTTGTCTCTGTAGTTTCTACTTAGGGCGGTTCAGTATTGTTACGGAGGAAATTTCTTACTCTACTTTGTATTGGGCACTTTGGTGTTACTCTTATTTGTTCGTTTTGACTTATTTCCTTTTTCTCCTTTTTTCCTCATTTTCCATGTAATTTCAGTGGCTCTTTTTAATAAACTTCCATGTAAAACAAAATATTCTTTTAAGTGAATTTTGATATCTAAAAGGTATTGATCTAATTCATTGCTATATACAATACTAAAGGAGCCTTTATATCATGGAAAATTGGCTTCATTACATAGTAAAGGATCCTTTTTATGGAAACATCACTGAACTCAATATAAAAAAGTTGTGTGAGGATGTCAAAGACCTAGAAGACGATATATTGTGATTTTTCCCATTGGTTTCTTTCTATTGCATTCAGAATATAAATAAGGCCACATAGAAAGTGTTTTTCCCAATGCGGTGAATCAATGGACATGAATCATGATCAATGTGTACTTAGACTCTGCTTTCTTCTTTTGACTTTTGCAAAGATGTCGTACTAACTACGAAGTACCTCATTGTTAGTGACCGAAGACATTACATCCTATATAATAAATGTTTGATAAATGGTAAAAATGATCTTACAAGATTATAATTTACAAAAAAACTCAACTAGACCTAAAATAACATGCTTAAAGATAAACATTTGGTAAAACTAGTTTGTTTGTGCAAAGCTCTAGTTGTAATGTTACTACAACTATATATGGTACGTAGTAATAAAGACAATATAATTGAATAGTAACATCAACCTTGACAAACAACGTTATGTAATGCACAACATCGGTTGTAGCACATGTCCGTTTTGGGCTCTTTGGTGTTGTATTGTATATAGCAATGAATTAGATCCGTACCTTTTAGATATCAAAATGCACTTACAAGAATAATTTGTTTTATATGGAAGTTTATTAAAAAGAGCCATTGAAAGTACATGGAAAATGAGGGAAAAGGAGAAGAAGGAAATAAGTCAAAACGAACAAATAAGAGTAACACCAAAGTGCCCAATACAAAGTAGAGCTTACATAACGTTATCTAATGGCATATGTCGTAAGCAATGTGTACATTTGCAGACTATAACATACCCCGTAAGCACGAACCTTGGTTGTAGCACTTTGGTGTCACTATCAACGTCATACATTAGGTCTTGCCAATGGTAGTCAATTCAATGGTTGGTGATGGTGTTAGAGGATTTTGGCCATTAGTGATGTTGCTAAAAGATTCCTAGTTTTATTGTCTACATTTTTATAACGAGGGAAGTGTCAAACGAGTACATTAACTTGTATGCACGGGAGTAAAGAGTACATTATATTGCATTTAGATATTATGACTCAATTGGCTAACAGAATAATGAATTTCGTTGTTGCTTCCCTACCATCTCATCATCACCGTGATGTGACTGCAGTCATGAACACGAGAATTAGAACAATAACCTTTCTTGAGGGCAAGTAGGACAAATCCAAGGCCATCCTCTGTAAGGGGGCAGTTCTGGTAACGAAGGCATCAATAGAGGTATTGTCGGTGGGCAAGGTTGGTGAAGAAGGGATCAACTACATGATCTGTTTAATGCAGTTTGAATTAGGGGGATACAAGAAGATACACCTTGTATTGCGGTATCATCTTAACTGCATTAAGCCAAACCTACTTGAAGTAAAATAACAATAAGTACTAACTAAGAAAAAGAAAATTGGAATAAAACTTTTCCACAAAACTCTTCCTGACACGGAGTTGGTTTTGGAGGAAGACGGACTCTACCAATATTTCCTAAAGCAGTCCAAAGGAAAGCAATCAGAAATCCATGACCAGACGAAGCTTATCAGGACATCAAAACAACTCCCCACATCGAGGAAGACAAAACAACCCGGAGCGTCAATGTCCGGGTAATAGCTGCCAAAATACAGAATAAACACAACCAATAAGGAGAACAATCATGGTGGGTCATACCCTTATCAAGAATATAATCTCCGCTACCTAGAACAAGGCATGTGATCCGCCTACTTAGCACCCCTTCGTTGATCAAGAGACAAGAGCAGCGACAAGAACTATTTGCACTAGGGCGTTTTCTCAAATCACGGGGAAAAAGGTGACATGTGGTGCCAAAAGACGAGCATTAGTTTAGGGTTTCTAAATAAACGGGAATCAGAAGGGGCTATTCCCAGTTTCCCACTTAATTAGGATTCTCAAATAATACAAAAAAACCACAATCGGAATGAAGTGTGTACAATTTATGTACTACCTCCGTTTCATTTTATGTGTCTCCTTTGGTTTTGACATAATTTTTAATAAAATGGTTGAAAAGATAAAGTTGTGGTTGAGATTTGAGTATAGTAAAGTAAAATGTTGTGAATTACATATTTCTTTCCAAAAAGATAAAATGACACTTATTTTGGAATAACCAAAAAAGAAAAATAAGACAAGTAAAATGAGACGAATGAAATATTAGTTTGGTGTACAAATGTATTTTTTCCAAAAAACAATTGAAGTACTTCGTATAAAAATCAAAACTGAAAACTACTCGGAATAAAATAAACGGGCCCTCACATTTCTTGGAATTCTACCCTCTCTGCCTCTGTCTCTCTATCCTTTCCCCGCAAAATCGCTCGGACCCGGGAAATTCTTCCGCTCCTTAAGCCGATCGAGGGCCTGGAAAATGCAGAACCAGAGGCTGAAGCAGCAGCAAGCCTTGATGCAACAAGCTCTTCTTCAGCAACAATCTCTTTATCATCCTGGCCTCTTGGCTGCTCCTCAGGTTCGATTTCCCTCGTTGAAATAGATTCTTTGGTGGTTGTAAAATTTCTTACTTAATCTATTCTTCATAAGAGTGCTGCTATTTGCTGGTGATTCTCTTTTAATCAAATTCTGATCTTCATCACCGCCTCGAGTCTAGGGTTTGATTTGTAAATTGCCCTTCTGTTTATCCGTGTTCTCACTTGTTGTAGTTGTGTGTCTCTTTCCTAAAAAAGATAAATTTTTCTTCTTGGAATTGTTTTCTTCTCACATTCGCGGTATCAGCTCAAAACTTTAGTTCGTTTTCAGAATTTAATCCTTGTGGAGTGGTGATTCACACAAGGATTAAGGAGGGACTGCCATGGACCATGGTGTACTGAGCCTATCTGGTGTTTAAATTTGGCTGAAATGGGATTATTTTTCTCTAATTGTGGATGAATAATGCCAAAATAAGCTGAATTATTTGAAACTGTATTTGTTGAAAACAATTCAAATGTAACAACACCTAGAAAACACTTCTTTTATTATCTGTGGTTGCATTAGTTTCAGATAATACAGTCATGGAATAAGTTATTATCAGGTTGAAAATATGGTTAGCGAGGCTTATAAAATTATGCTTCTCCACCACTTGAGTTTGTTCTACTTCAAAATGGTTTATGCCAACGTGATAGGCATTTCTTTTTGTCTCAATTACTGTGCTAAAGTCCCCATTTATATGCCTTTGTGTTAATTAATGGCTTATGGGTTTTACATTTACTTGTTGCTTTAAAGATAAAAATCTACTACTCCGTATGATTTAGTATTTCAGTCAAGTTTTACTGGCATCATGTCAATGTAAACTGTTGCACTCAAGAATTATTGTAGGGAAAAACAGATCTTGGTTAATAATGCTTAGATGACCTATCACATCGTTTTATTATTTTCATTACTATATGGCTAGGGGTGGGCCTGTTTTTTTGGTTTGATTTGCACTTTTGCTCAAAGCCAAATACAGATGTTACTGCTACTGTTTATTTACTCTAACGACAGTGTCTCAAAAATTTTGTTATCGTAAGGTCCCCATTCATCTGACTTACTGCATTATGTTCAATTTATCCTTTAACATTACACTGTTGTTTATAAATTACAGGCCCAAGGCCTTCAGAGGACGACATCATTTATGAATCCCCAGTTGTCTGGATTGACTCAGAATGGTCAATCGGCTATGATCCAGAACACTTTAGCTCAGCAGCAGTGGGTAAAGAAAATGCCTTTACATTATGTCCCATTTTTACATTTTCATGGCCCCTTACACACATTCTCTTGCTGAAAGCTTAAAGTTGAATAAGAAAGTAGGGTTACTGCTCTGTTTATTTATCCCAGTGATGACGTGTCATGCTTTCATGGATGTTCTTTTCTCATTTTAGATGATGCTCTTCTAACTAGGTGGACGATTCTTTAAAAGTGTTTTTTATAAAACCAGTCTCAAGAATTATGTTATTGTAAGGTTCCCTATTCATGTGTAAACTACCAAATAGTATATTATTTTTAATGTGTCTTTTGACATTACAATGTTCTTTACAAACTCCAGGCCCAGAGCCTCCAGAGGACAACATCATTTATGAATCCCCAGTTATCTGGATTGACTCCAAATGGTCAATCTGCTATGATGCAGAACACGTTAGCTCAGCAGCAGTGGGTAAAACAGATTCCAACACTATCTTCACCGAATTCCCCTTCATTCCGTATCCAGCACCCAAGGCAATCCCTTATTCAACAACCAATGCCTTCAAATCAGCAGTTGCATCAAAATTCTATGGCTTTGAGCCCCCAACAGTTATCCCAAATTGTACAGCAGCCAGCAGCACAGCAACTTCAGCATCCACATGAACAAAAGCAACAGCCGTCTGGACAGCAGGTTTTGCATCAACAGAAGCCGCAGCCGTCTGGACAGCAGCTTTTGCATCAACAACAGCAACAGTCTCAGCAGCAATCTTCGCCGCATATGGCGGCTCCCACATGCCAAAAATCTATGAGTTTGACTGGATCACAACCAGATGCTACTGCATCAGGAGCCACTACTCCTGGGGGGAGCTCAAGCCAGGGAACTGAAGCAAGCAATCAACTTCTTGGAAAGAGAAAAATTCAGGATTTAGTTTCGCAGGTCCAACCCCTGGTTCACCTGTTTATTTTTTTCCCCTGCATAATAAGTAAGGCATAAGCACTATAAGACTTCAAATTGGATGTATTTGAAGTCAAGAGTCATTTCTGTTTTTACTATATACAAAACCAATGCGATTAATTCTCTGATTGGTGGCATAGTATTGCCTTGTAAACTTCTAATTGCCTTTTGTCAAGATAAGAAATTATCTTCCAGGAATGTGTAGTGACATACTTCCTCCATCCCATAATTAACTTTACAGTTTGACTTTCACGGTCTTCAAAGTTGACCTTTGACCACTATATTTAAGATTTTAGACTTATAAAATCTGTTATAAATTACCATTTCATTAATATATGTTAAAATAAAGATTCAAAATTTATTTTCATGCTATAAAGCACTATGACTTTGGAATACTCAATGTTCAAAGTTAATAAAGTTTTACTCAAAAAGTCAAATTATAAACTTAATTATGGGGTGGAGGTTGTATGATATGTCTTAATTTTCTTTAAGTTCCCTGATAAAAATTGTATGGTTCCAGGTGGATTCTTTGGGGAAGCTTGACCCTGATGTTGAAGATCTTCTTTTAGAGATTGCTGATGACTTTATTGATTCAGTGAGACTCAAATTATCTTTCTTTCATTTGTCTCTCTTCTCACGTTTTTAGGGCGTTAACACATTGAAACTTCCATCCTGTTGTTATTGTTCTTCTGGTAATGGTTAACAGTGATATTTATATTAGTTGTCATAGCTAATCAGAACGCTTTTGACATTTTCACTTGTTAATTTAGAATGACTTCCTGAAATATGATATCTTTGTTGGTTTATTTGTTTTTGTTTGGCTATGGGGCTTTAGTCCATGACTATTGTCATGTTGTGTATTCCACTTGCATTTGTTTCCTGTTTTTATACTCTTCATTTTTTCAAATTTCATTCTTCTGAGACCAAGTCTATAATTTTAGTCAGGGAAATCACTAGACAGTAGCTCAGTAGTGCTTTAGTCCACGCTTAATTAGTACTTGCCTACTTGCTTTTCGTAAATTAAAATACTATTGATATCTGATGTAATCAATGTAACTTTTTCTTCCATGTGATATCTGCCTTTTGATTCTCTTTTCAGTGCCTGACTACCATTTGAAGCTTTCCATGCAAATCACATCACTTTATTTTCATATGTTGTTTGGCTATTGCAGGTAACTACATTTGCTTGCAATTTGGCGAAGCATAGAAAATCATCAACCCTTGAATCAAAGGATGTGTTATTGCATCTTGGTCTGTCCTGCAACTATTGCTTTCATATGTTATGTCCTGCAACTACTTAATCTTCTACAGAGTATTTTTTATTTGTGATAGTCATGAAAAGTATTGTCAATCATTGTATTTAAAATTAAAATACATACTAAAACATTGCATTTATTTTGTTTATACACGCACTACATACATATGAGTAATGAACCTCATCAGGAGAAGGGACTTGTCATGCTAAAATTCATTCTGACCCTTTCACTTCAACAGTTCAGATCTTTTCGGTCTTTAGAATCCCACATCCCTTTGATGTCCATAGGGATTGTTTGGTGAGAAGATTAATGGAGCAACATTGAGTTTTTGGTCGAGTTGCAAAAGGATAGGAGATTACGATGAAGGAAAAAACCTGAACCATTTAAGTGACCTAAAGATTGGAATGAATTTTAGTCTAACTTGATCATTTCCATTATACACACAACACTAAGGGGGGACATGAACTAATCAAACTCAACTGTTTTACAGAAAAAAATTGGCATTTGACAATTCCGGGTTTCTCAAGTGAGGACAGGAAACAGAAACTGGAACATGTAAGCGCCTCTCACTCTCAATTCTGAATAAAATGCAGTATTCTGCATTTCTGTGTTACTGCTCCCAATTTTCTGTTTGGTGTAAATTGCAATAGCCAGTTGAAGTAGTCCTGTGGGCTAATATTCTCTTGTTTAGGGGGCTAGATTAGATGCCTAGTTGATAAGAGGCTTGGTAGAAGTTTCTATAGGTAACTTTTGTTTTATCCTCTCTTTTTTTCTTCTTCTTGTTTGTCTTCTGTTTTTGGCATCCATATCATGATTCGATTCATGTTAGCCGACCCCAAAATCTTTTTTTCTTCTTGTTTGTCTTCTGTTTTTGGCATCGATATCATGATTCGATTCATGTTAGCCGACCCCAAAATCTTTTGGGATTAAGGCTTGGATGTTGTTGTTGTTGTTGTTGGACATTATTGAAGAACAAGAACTCAAGTGACCTTGTAGTGGTTATGCTTGTAGGCTGTATTGATCTTGTTTCCAGTCATTGATTTGGATTTTTCTTTCCTGCAGCCATCTAGTGACATCCACAAGAAGCGCTTGGATGTGGTAAGTTAAGTGTGTTATGTTGACCCCCAACCCCATTTAAAATACCTGCACCAAAAGAACACTTAAAACCGTATTACAAGTCACGCTGGATATAACGTGTAAAACCACATTGTAATTTTGTTCAGATACGTTCGTTGATGGAAGCTACGCATGCTGAAACAAACACAAGTGCAAATAATAATAATAATAGTAATCATAGAGAGATGATGGTTAGGCAAGGAATGGGTGATCATATTATTGGTCAGCAGCAGAACCACTTGATAGGAAGAAATCCAAGCTCAGAGCAGCTGGTTTCACAATCTAATGCTCCAAAAATGTTGCAACAGATGACAAGGTTCTAATGCTCCTCTTTTATTGGTCACTCTGCCTATTGAGCAAGTTGTAGGTATGGACATCCTTTCTCTGATTATGTATCTGTGATTAATAACTTATTAAATTCTTTAACCAACTTGAGACCCAATAGTAGTAAAGAAACGTGCTTTTAAAAATAAAAATCATTTTGGATCATAAATATGAAAATGTCAAATTTTGAGGTCATAAATTCAATTCTTTGATGTATTTCATGACAGAGTTATTCGACCTCCCTTCGAAGGCAATTTCTTACGCTTATCATGCCACTCCAAGGCTTGCTCCTTGTGGTTGGACCCTTCACTGCACCCTTGTCTTGCGGGGACACTAATGTGTATCGGGCTGCCCTTTTTATATCATGTCACTCTACATTTTGTTTTGTAACAGAAAACTTCTAAGAATGCATCCTTTTTAGTAAAACATAAGAAACCAACCTAATGTGCATGTATAATGATTTACGGCTTTCCCATGACTAAAATGCATTTTAAGGTCTTTTGATTTACTGGTAAGTAGGTAATTTATCTCCAGCATTTTACGATCCGTACATCTATTCTGTGTCACAGATTGCATTGATGAAGTCATCCAGCTTACCTAAGGGATAGCTAGTTGGAACGCTCTGAAGCTATGCAAGTCCTTCTTGTGCCATCAACTAAGTATACCTCACAGTTTCTGCAGGCTAACATATCTTCACCGAAATGTAAAATATTTATTAGTTTTTTAAAGTTTCTCTTCAATGTTGTGTTGTGTTGTGTTGTGTTGTGTTGTGTATAGACCGCATTTTAACAGCCGAAGTTTGTGAAATTAGTTCAATCAATTGTTTAGCAGCCAAAGCTATAGGGGCTGTTTTTTGTGATATGCATTTTCTTGGTAGTAGGGGTTGTAATTGAGTAATTGACTCATATCGTTCCTAAGCATGATTTTATACTTCAGAATGAACTGCGAGTTGATTTGGCGTCCGTTAATGTCATTTCTTGTGCAATATGGGTAATTCTAAATGCAGCCCATATTTTACTAAACACAACCCCTAATTATAATTAATTAACTAAATATAAATAAAATGCCTAATATATCCTCCAAACAACATCCCGTTGCTGTCTTTGCTGGCTATTGCCTATGGACTTCTTCTTTGGCTGAGATGATCAATATATATATGTAACTATGTAAGGTGTTGATTATCTCTTTGATTATGAGTCTGAGAACGCAAACCAAGGGATATGTGGCAAGCTATAATGCCAAAAACGGGTCTACTGGAAATGGAGTCTCTGTGTGCTTTGGCTCGCTAATCATTTTTTTGGATGAAAATTTGGCTCGCTAATCATGCTACTATTGGGAAGAGAGCAAACACGACAGTCACCTAATGTTTTCTGTAAAGGTGACTGTCAAAGAACACCACTGGATTTCGCGACCGGACGGTGAAGGTTGAGGTTCCAATTGAGGAGCTTATGACTGCTTCATAGGGCTGGAATCGGGCCGGGTTGCCCGACCCGGGACCGAACCGGCCCGGTCACTGTTTGGCCCGGCCCGGCCCGTGGCCCGGTGGGTCCACCGGTTCGGTTTGGCCCGGCCCGGTGCTGGGCGGTCCGGGCTCGGGCCCAGGTTTTGGTGAACCGGCCCGGCCGGTTCGGGCCCGGTCCAGGCCGGATTTTAATTTTTTTTTTTTTTTGAAATTTTTTTAAGTTTTAGGTTGGAATGTTGGATTAGGTATTTTGAGCCATTTGAGGTGGTTTGGGATGGTTTGGGGTTGAGGGGGAGGGGTAGGGGATTAAATAGGAGAACAAAAAAAAATTAATTGGGCCGGTTCGGCCCGGCCCGGCCCAGTTTGGCCCGGAACCGGAACCGGAACCGGCCACCGGCGGTTCGGGCTCGGGCCTCCCCTTTCCTAGCCCGAGGCCCGGCCGGGCCCAGGCCCGAACCGGCCCGAGTCCAGCCCTACTGCTTCACCACGGCGGCGGGGACCCATTATAAGCGTCGACAACACTTCACCTTTGGCGCCTCAACCAGAATTGGACCTCTGGCCCTTGAATTCAGCATTGCAACTCCAAAACCTCCAACATCAGATGTACTCCAGACCCCCAACATCGACCCCCCACATCGTCTCTATCTGATCACAAACTCGAAAGGGAGCCGCTAAGATTTAGACCTCTGTTATGGTGGAGCAATAACTTTAGTTTCATGTACACAAAGTAATAGTAGATCATTTTTGGATGGAATGAAGGAACTGTGGTAGACCAGTAGAAAAGCTTGTGGGGGACGAAAGTGATTGCGAATGATGTTGGGATAAACAGTGATATTATAGGCATTTAATTTATATTTTATTAATTACTTTTAATTATGGTTGTGTTTAGTAAAACCAGGGCCGACTCTAGGATTTTAGAGGTCCTAGACGAAAAACACTTGATTTTAAGAAATCATATTAATGTAATATTTATCTATAACATAAAGTCGGAAAATTGAGATAAATTGAATGTAAACATTCCATATAAGAAACAAAGCATATAACGTATACTCAAGATACACCATGCAGTGTGAACGTCAAAAAGAAAAATTCAAATGGAAACCTATAAAAATGCACCAAAAATTATACTAGCACTTTAATATTCTCAACGTACTCTTTCTCTTTGTTCATAGAGTCAAAATTTATGTTTAACTGTCATGAAAATACCTACATATAATTGATAATAGAAAAATCACAAACAATTAAGTTAACAAAAAACGAAAATTAATATAAGAAATAATTGCCGCCGTATGACTTCCTGACTTTTCAATTCCAAACATATATCAATTTTGACTTTTTCTAAAAATGTGACCCTTCCATCGCGCATAAACCTTTTCTCCCAAACCCCTTCCATCGAGCATATCTCCTTCGCAGCTCCAAAAATCCTTCACAACTTCACAACTCTCCTTCGCAAATCGCACAACCCTCCGCGGCTCTTCTTCGATCTCCTCTTTGTCGCCGCTCTTCTTCCCCTCTTCAATTCGTCGCCGGATTTCCTTAATCTATCACTTCAAATCAGCGATGGAGGTGCAACTCAGTTCAAATCTGAAGCGGTTATGGTTTACGGGGGGAAATGAAGGGGGTCACGACGGGTCTGGCGCAGGGCAGTGGGTTGGGATGGGCTAGATGCCGATGTGGTTCCGCCTGTGTTCGGATCTGGAATTTGGAGCAGAATGATGGCAGGTTGCAGCGATTGTAGGCGGCGTGACGGGGTGGGGTGCGATTATGTAAAGGATGGGGGCTTCGAAGTTGGGGGAGGGGGCTGGGAAAGTGTGGCGGAGGACAGGGGTGGCGAGGGTGGCCGGTTGTAGTAGTTGACGGTAGTCACAGTAGGTTTAGGGGCTGGGGTAGGTGGGAGAGGGGGCTGGGGTAGAAGAGGCGATGTGATTGGCGGGTGGTGGGCAGTGGTGGTTCTAGGCGTGGAAGGCAGTGGTGGAGTAAGCAGGCAGTCACTTTGTCCGGGGTCACTGTGACCGGTGAACGGGCAGTCACTTTGATCGGGCGGCGGCAGTCACTGTGGCGGTGCAGTCACCAGCAGGCGGAGTCACTGTGGCAGCACAGTCACTGACGGGCGGAGTCACTTTGACCGGAGTCACTGTGGCGGCGGGGCAGTCACTATGGTGGCGGGGCAGTCACTATGGCGGCGGGGCAGTCACTATGGTCAGTGGGATCACTTTGGCCGGAGTCACTTTGCTCGTAGTCACTTTACACTGCAGGGTTAATTATGATGTTGGTCACATTTTTAGAATTTTTAAAAACAGATCACTTTTTTATCTTTTATCAAATTTTTAGTAATACTGGAATAAAAAGGCCTTAATATAAACCCCCTTCGTCCCTCAAAATTTTGTCATCTTTCCTTTGTGGACGTCCCAAAAAATTGTCACTTTTCCTTTTAATTAATTATTTTATGGTTCATGTTATTTCTCTCTCCTCTGCACATACCTCAATCATACAATTTTTACTTTATTATTGTTCATGCCGTCAAACTTGATAAAGTTTTTAAGGATGGAGATAGTACATTATAATTAATAATGAGAAGTTATAATAAGGAGTGTAAACTAAAAGTATTATTAGTGGCCAATCCCACTCAGGGACTCGAGGGATCGGTGGCTGCCTATTGCCAGAGACTGGTGGAAGTTAGGAGTCCGCTATCAATTTCAAATTTCAATCACTAAATTTTAACATAAAATTTTCTTTATAAAAAAACATTAAATTTTCATACGAAGGCGTACAGACTGTAGAGTAGTCCGGTTACTAATTCCATCAATTTCGGAGTCTTCTAAACTGATGTGAGGCCCTACGCAAATTTCAATTACAAATTCGCATTCCAATTCCAATTCCAATTACTTCCTACTCCTATTTTTTAGGCCCTCCCTGATCGGAGGACCTGGGCAAAAGCCTGGGTTGACTGACACCAAAGCCGACATTGAGTAAAACAGGGGCTGCATTTAGAATTCCTCGTGCAGTATAATTAGCCATTAGGACTCAGATATGGCAACCAACTTTAGTACGCGACTTGTCTCTGCCCAAGATAGCCAACCGAGACTAGGACTTGGCACTCACGAGTCCATTTGCAATCCAGGCATGAAAAGGGCAGATTTGGTCTATTCATCCCAAAATTTCATACAACCTAAGTATGGGAGGAGGGGACAATGGGTTTGTGAGCCCTGAGGTGGGGAACCGGTAACCTATTTTTTGGGAAGGTGGGTGTAGTCCAGTGTATGACCATCCACCCCCAAGTCTCTTCTATGATCGAATTGGAATTCTTAACTGGGAAATGGTCAATTCTATGATCGTATCTTGGTTTCTGCGCAGCATGGATCCCAAGATTGCAACATCTATTCCTTATCAGTTATCACGAAGAAGGCAAGGAATTGTGGGATTACCTTGCTCGAAGATTTGCAGTTGCTAACGGCCCTCGCATTCAGCAGTTGCGCTCGAGTATCGTGAGGTGTGTACAGATCAAAAACATGCCTTTTGATGATTATTACAATACCTTGATGGGATATTTTGACGAACTAGTTCGTCTTAAGCCACTTCACCGGTGTACATGTGGGCTATGTACATGTGATGTCGCTGGAAGGTTTGCTAAGGATCGTGAGGAGGAGAAGTTACATTAGCTTTTGATCGGGGTGGACGATGACTTGTATGGAACAGTGAGAAACAATCTATTGACACAGGATCCTGCGCCTAGCACAGATCGTGCATGTCAAATTTTTCTCCAGGAGGAACGTTCACGCACCATAGCAAGGGACAAAATTGTTCCACAGGATATCCATGCTTTCGTGTTGCAAACAAATTGTGGACACAATCATTCGGATATGATTGAAAAATCAAAATTGACGTGTGCATACTGTAAGAAAAAGGGGCATGAAAAAGATGCCTATTTCAAACTACACGGGTTTCCCGAATGGTGGAATGAAAGAAATCGTGGCAATAAGCGAGGAAGCAATCCAGGAGGTCCTGGGCGTGATTCTTTTGTTCGAGCTAATGCAGTGACTGCCACAGAGAAGGAGTCTCCTTCTGTTGCTTCAGCAGCCCTTGCTGAACTTAACGCAGACCAAGTCCAGGTGCTTTTAAATATGATCAAAACTACCGAGCAGTGTGGTGCACGTATGACTGGTATGTACTCTCCAACGAATTGGATTATAGACACAGGAGCATCTCACCATGTCACTTGCAATTTTTCTTGGCTAACTAATGTGTGCCGTATTGATTCATGTTATGTTGGACTACCTGACGGGACTCAGGCAGTAGCCACCATGCAAGGCTGTGTGACTCTTGGTTCTTATATTACCCTCCAGAATGTGTTATTTGTGCCAATACTGAATTGCAATCTTATCTATGCAACACAGCTCATTGATGAATGTGTGTGTACAGTTAAATTTACTAATGTTTTGTGTTCTATACAGGACCAGCGTGCGGGGAACCTGATTGGAGCGGGTGAGAGACGAGATGGACTCTATT